CCCCACCAACCCCAAGAAAAATGTACCATCTGGTTAATTTAGGAGGTAGACCAGCATGATCATGTTTTCTATTCTTCTTACCAGGCAAAACTCTTGGGTGGTGAAGTTCTCCAGAGAAATGAAAATGTCGAGGTAAAATAATTTTAAGCTGAACTAAATTGCCATTTCTTATTATATCGTGTCTGGAAGAATGCTTACCTGTTTCACCCAAATTCTGTATGGAAAATAACTGGTAGCATTATAATTTCCAGGTGGCTTCGGTCAACGCAGAGGATACGGCTGCTACAGCTAATGGATCTTCATCTTCAAATCCTAATTGGTACCTAACTTCCGTGTACATATCTTTTTGAGTGTTTTGTGCTTCTATTTCCTCAAGTTGTCTACCTCTGATAAGTAGAAAAGGGTACTATCTTCAGATTGCAAACATGAAATGTTTGAAAGAATATTTGCCTCTCGCACCCAAAAATTGTTGAAGAGGCACAGGAGGTCGTTTGACCACCTGATTGGCGGTGATCCAATCTGATACAGTTAGCAATAATGCCAAAGTGCTTAAGTCGCTCCAGCATTAGTTCTACCAATGCCGAAGTTAACCAATTTTGGTGGCAGTTTATCCAGTAGGTGCACACTTTGGCCTCATAAAGCGGGGGAAGGTTACGACTGACCAAAGAAAAAACATAAAAAGGGCAGGTTATGCAAATAACGTGAGCTTGAGGGGAGACAAACATAGGCGTATGTAGTGTTATAGTATGGGGTGTTTGGGAATAAACCCCCTACACAAATAATATTCACGGTAATAAAAGCGGAATAAGAACGTAGCACCGAAATACGATAATTAACAAGAATAAAAGAGTAACAACGACACCAAGATTTTTTCGTGGAAAACCCTTTTGATAAGGGAAAAAACCACAGCCCCGAGAGGAGCAACTGATATCACTATAGTAAAAAATTTTACACTTTGTAGGTCCGAGTAAAATACTCCAAAGACCACTACAACACTCAAAAGAAATAACCCTCTTTTGATATTCTCACCTCACTACAATATCACTCACTCTCTATTTTTCTCACAGACTATTTTCTTATACCTTGTCTGTGAAACCCCACTCTTTCTTTCTCTCTTTGTTGGTGTGTCTTACAATGAAGGTAGAGGCACTTATTTATAGCTGCAGAATACCTATGTTGATGTATGCAGTGACATCAACACTACTGCAAAAAATCAGCCGCCCAAATCTTGTCTAAATTGGCTGGCTTGACAAAAGGAAGAAAGAAGAAGTTTTTCTTCTTTCACATATGGGCTGGACCCCATAAATCTCCCCTTCCAGTCCCATTCACCTGAAGGAGGTAACACCGGAGGTTCTAGTTTGAGTGTATGCCGACAAGTTCTTTGCATAGCTCAAACTTGTCTCTTGGTACCACTTTGGTCAACATATCCGAAGGATTCTCACTTGTATGGATCTTCTATACCTGCATAGACCCATCCTCTATCCTTTCTCGAATCCAATGATACCTCACGTCGATATGCTTCGTCCTTGCATGATACATGGTGTTTTTGCTCAGGTCTATTGCACTTTGACTGTCACAATAGACGACATACTCCTTCTGGTGCAATCCAAGCTCTTGAAGGAACCGTTTGAGCCATACCATCTCTTTGCTAGCTTCAGTAGTGGCAATATACTCCGCTTCAGTTACAGAGAGTGTGACACATTTCTGCAACCTCGACTGCCATGATATAGCTCCCCCTGAAAATGTAAACAAATATCCAGTAGTGGATTTTCTGTTATTAATGTCACCTGCCATATCAGCATCTGTATAGCCCTTCAAGATTGGATCAGATCCTCCAAAGCACAAACAATCTCCCATGGTACCTCTCAGGTACCTGAGTATCCACTTGACTGCTTCTCAATGTTCCTTTCCAGGATTTTCAAGAAACTTGCTGACAATACCAACTGCGTGAGCAATATCAGGTCTAGTACATACCATTGCATACATCAAGCTTCTGACTGCTGAAGAATAAGGAACTGTAGCCATGTTCCCTTTCTCCTCATCTGTTGCAGGGCACATCTTTTTGCTCAACTTTAGATGACTAGCAAGAGGTGTGCTGACTGGCTTAGCATTCTTCATGTTGAAGCGTTCTAGTACACGTTCAATGTACTTCTCCTGAGATAGCCACAACTTTCTACTTGTTCTCTCTCGAACTATCTTCATCCCTAGAATTTGTTGTGCTGGGCCCAAGTCCTTCATATCAAATGACTTGGACAGATCTCCTTTCAACTTTGCTATCAACCCCTTGTCTTTTCCTACAATTAACATGTCATCCACATACAACAACAATGTAATAAAGTTATTCTCAGAAAATCTTTTGAAGTATACACATGGTTCAGAATAGATCTTTAGGTATGTTTGACTTTTCATGAATGAGTCAAACTTCATATACCACTGCCTTGGTGACTGCTTCAATCCATAAAGATTCTTATTCAATTTGTACACCATGTGTTTTTTTTCCAGCTACTTCAAATCCTTCTAGCTGCTCCATTTAAATCTCCTCTTCCAAATCTCCATGAAGAAATGCAGTTTTGACATCCAAATGCACCACTTCAAGATCTAGGCTAGCTCCTAAGCTCAAAATTGTTCGAATCGAAGTCATTTTGACAACAGGTGAGAAAATTTCGTCAAAATCAATACCTTTCTTCTGTTCGAAGGCTTTAACCACCAATTGAGCTTTGTATCTGACCAGCTTTCCATTTCCATCTTTCTTGAGTTTAAAGACTCATTTGCATTTGAGTGGTCTTTTACCCTTTGGA